TCTGAAGCAAGTCTGTCCCGGGATGATCGACCCAGCTGCTTCTGATCAGCTCTGGTCACAGTTCAGAGTATGGGTTCGTTCTGAAGCACTCAAGCTGCAGGACGTCAACTATGAGCAGGCTCAACAGAACTTTAGCAAGCTGCTGAAGGAAGTTGAGAGTCAGCTGCCTCAAGAAGTTGTGCTCCCTCTGGACTCTGAATCGTGGTCTGAGAAAGAGCAAGCTGCACAGGTGCAACCTTCAGAAGAAGACAAGACTCTTCAAGAAGAAAATCCAGCAGAAGATGTAGCTGAAAGTTCTGAGAAGCCTCCTCCTGCTGAAAGTTCTCAAGCTGCCTTGGACAGGCAGGCTCTGGAAGAATTAAGGCTGAATGACTTGCGTCTACAGCAGCGGATGGAAGAGAATGATCAGAAGATGGAAGCAAGAATGAATGTCCAGGACAGCAAGATTGATACTGTTGTCACCATGGTTCAGAAGCAGAATGCAACTTCTGAAAAGATTCAAGCAATGCTGGAAAGCCTGTTCTCACGCATGCCCCCACAACCTTGAAATTTTTTTTATGCATGACATTCTCTATATTTTTCTTCATTTTCTGATGTACTTTTGACTATGTTTTGACTATGCTTGTGTAATGTTCTTTGCTCTGAACTATTTTTAATATAATTTGTTTTTCTGATCTAAATTGTTTTAGCACATCACTAACACTTTTTGATTGCTGACAAAAAGGGGGAGAACAAGAATGATATTTAAAATCAATAACAGCTAACTAGACAGAAACTCTCAAACATTCTAACTCTATTACTTGAAATGTTTTTCTGTTTTGTTGTTAAGTCTACAGGCACAAGGAAGCTCCGAACACTATGAAGACTAAGAACTAGAAGCTCTGATCAATCATGTTGCTCTGATCAAATATGAAGTTCTGATATATGAAGCTCTGATCGACCTAACACTCTGATTCGAAGCAAAGCTCTGACAGGAAAGCTCTGAAGCTCTGCTTTCTGATAAGTCAAAGACTTATAATCTGATGCTCAAAGATAGAAAAAGATCTGACTCTGAAGAACACACATATCAAAGGGAAGTAACAAACTCAGGGGGAGTATCTCTTAACTCTGACTTCTCCGTACTTCTTATTCTGATACATAGATCTGATAACTTTTCACGTTATTTTTCATTTAAAATATCTAGTTTTTGTCATCATCAAAAAGGGGGAGATTGTTAGAACAATGTTTGAATCTAGTACCCTATATTTAAGTTTTGATGATAACAAAGTGAAAAGATATAGTAGTTAAATATTTTATGATTGAATTATATGCTGCCTAAAATTACTATGCTCTGACTTGCAGATATGCTGATTAAAATAAGCAAGATCACGTTTTCAGCATCAGAATATGAGTTTGCACATCAGCATCAGAAGTTGCTGAGTCAGAACGTCAAGATCAGATGATCAACGCTTGCACATGCTGAAGCTTGATGAACAGAACTGCGCGTAAAACACTCTGATACAGAATCAAATCAGTTCATCAGCAGCGAAGCAGAATCAGAATGAGCCAAGCCAGAATGTGCATTGAAGAAGCAACGGTACTGTGCATTGAAAGCTAATCAATACCAACGGCATCATTCTAGACAAGATCTGCTCAAAAAGGAAAGCTTGTTAATAGCATTGAATCAAGAATATTTGCTTCAACGTTCATCTTCTCAAGTGCTATATAAACCAAGCTTTGAAGATTATCACGGCTAATGCTTCCAAACTCTCTACACGCACAAAGCTGAACAATAATCTTCACTCTACAAGTTTTGCTAAACCAACAAACTCTGATACTTTATTAGCATTTAGCAACCTAGTATTCTAAGCTTCATTTGTGTAAACATCACAGTTGTGATATAGTTTTTGTAGAAAACATTCTCACACATTTGCTTATACCTTTGTAAGAAAGTGTTGCCTTGACAAACCGGATTGTGGTTTGAATCAAGAAGGTTTTAGCAGTTGCTAAAGCAGATTTGTATTCAGTTGAATATAGTAAATTAAGACCTCGTTGGAGAGAGGCGAAATCACCTTGACGGGTGGACTGGAGTAGTTTGAGATCAAACGAACCAGGATAAAAATACCCTGTCATTTGCCTTAAGATTCCAGTTTTTCAATTCAACCCCCCCTTCTTGTGTTTTTCACCCCTTCAGAACCTCTACAACCCAAAATGAAAAGTTTGCAAGATTTATATGATTCAACAAATGAGGTACACCTTATATGCCTTCTGGCTGATGCTGAAAACATCAGTTTCGAAGAAGCGTTACGAGACAAGAAGTGGAAAAGTGCCATGGACAAAGAGATTATAGCAATAGACCGCAACAACACTTGGGAGCTAGTCGAATTGCCAAAAGGTAGTCATCCCATTGGTGTAAAGTGGGTATTCAAGAAAAATATGAACGCTCAAGGATAAATAGAATGATACAAAGCGTGACTTATTGTGAAGGGATACAAACAGAAAGCCGAAATTGACTATGACGAAGTATTTGCATCTGTTGCAAGAGTGGAGACAATTTGACTGCTCATTTCTCAAGCTGCTCAATTCAAATGGATGTCAAGACAATATTTTTGAATGGTGTACTCGAAGAGTAAGTCTATGTTGAACAACCACTCGGATATATGAGGATTGGAGAAGAGAATAAGGTGTTGAAATTGAAGAAAACGCTATATGGGCTGAAGCAGGCACCGCAGGAATGGAACACACATCTCGACACATATTTCAAGGAGAATGGGTTCAAGCAATGTCCGTATGAACATGCCCTCTATGTGAAGAAAAATGGAAGTAATGTATTACTTATTATTCTCTATGTCGATAACCTTATTTTTCTAGGCAGTAATGATCAGATGATAGAAGAATTCAAGAGCACAATGAAACGTGAATTTGAGATGACAGACTTAGGTCTGATGATATTCTTTCTTGGTATGGAGGTTCGACAAGAAGAAACAGGAATCTTTATTTCACAGAAAAAATATTTAAAAGAAATCTTGAAAAATTATAAGATGAAAAGTTGTAATCCAACTTCGACGCCAATGGAACCAGGTGCAAAGTTGTCGAAATTTGATGGAGGAGAACGTGCCGAAGTAAGCAAATATCGAAGCTTGGTAGGTAGTCTTCGCTATCTCACATGTAAAAGGTCGAACATTTTATTAAGTGTCGGTATTGTAAGTCGATTCATAGAGGATCTGGTATATTCACATTGGAAGTCATTGAAAGTATCCTAAGGTACATCCAAGGAACAATGTCATTTGGAATGTTTTATTCAAGAACAGAAGACTGCAAGTTGGTTAGTTACTCTGACAGTGATTGGTGCGGAGATATAGACGATCGAAAAAGCACTTCTGAATATGTGTTCTTCATGAAAAATAATGTATTTACTTGGCTTTCTAAGAAGCAACCGATAGTAACACTTTCGACACGTGAAGCTGAATATGTAGCAGCATCTTGGTGCGTTTGTCATGCAGTATGGCTTAGAAGATTGATGAGAAAAATTGAGCTAAAACATGAAGGTGCAACAGTAATACAAGTGGACAACAAATCAACAATTGAGTTAGCACAAAATCCAGTAAACCATGAAAGAAGTAAACACATTGACGTTCGCTTCCACTTCATTTGAGAACATGTGAAGGAATGAAGTGTCGAATTGAGACATATAGCAAGCAAGGATCACGCAGCAGATATTATCACAAAACCATTATCAAAAGAAATTTTCAACAGAGACAAGAAATTGATAGGCGTGATGGATAGAAGAAACATTTAAATTTACAGAGGAGTTTTGTTGAATAAATTTTAATGTTATAGTTAGTGGATTTCTATTAATAAGTTAGTAAAAAGATTAAGAATTTGTTGTAGTTGGAAGACCAAGAAATAGTAGCCTATTAATAGTATTTACTAATATTATTTGTTTTTTTAAAATAACAGAAATATCTAAATTTATATAAAGACTAAGGCTATATTCTATTTGATAAGAAATTAATAAAAGTTTCGCTCCCTTCTTTCAATCTTACCATAATGAAATTTTTATATGAGAAATATGAGAATGAAAGGAACAATTATCAATCCTTGGAGCAAAATAGACATTTTAGATTACAAAACTCATTTTAAATAACACATGTATCTCTCTGGCTAAACAAAATATTTAATGCTTAGTTTGCTGCTGCATCTTTCACAGAATAATTATCGCTTTATTAAAGGACAAGGCTACTTCACTTGAAACTTTTATTTTTCCTTCCTCACATATATATCGTGGCTTACCAGGATTCGTGAATACATTATCTTTATAGGTGGGTCTTTAGACAACATCTCGATTTCAACAATATGTGGTGCTGATAAATTGACTGCTTTTTTGTTTCTCTTGATGAAAATGTGAAGAATAAATAAGAATCACGAGCATGTGATAAATTAAATATTTGAACTTTTATTTTCAAAATATAATAATGGTTTTTATTTGATTGATTAATAATTTTATTTATTTATTTCTAGGATTATTACTTTTTGATGAGTAGGAATCAAACTCGGAAGATTGTTACTAGTACAAAAGCAGTCTATTATCAATTTAGTGGATCCTTTGGAAAGACTGCATTCACACTTAGCCACAGTTTCCAATTATGCCTTTTTTTACAGGTTAGAATATTATTACTCAAGTTGACTGGATCCATAGCAATGTAACATGGCTCGTATCATCTTTTATAGTTGCACGTCTTGGTCTTCAAAATATTTATGTAATACTCGTATTTCATACTTGATTCATGAAAAAAAGTTACATTGGATAGGATATTATAATCTAGATAATAATCATTGCATCATAATTTGTTCTTTAAGCACAATGGTAAAGATACATTTATTTTCAGCATGAGACAGCATTCATTAGAACATCAATAGAAGACTGTTGTAACATCCTGCCATAGAGCATGATGTTGCAATTTTATTTCCTGCAAAGCGTCTGAAACATAGTAGTAGACACTTGCCAAAGCATCCCATTTCTACAGGCCTGCGATGAAGGCCACCCCTGTGCTCTTCAACCAAACATTACCTTGGATGAGCTGTGTTACTGTAAACTTATTTGCCTCTGCGGTATTTAGGATATGATAACCAGGCCAGTTCACTCTTTTGGCGGTACCAGCACCCGGTCCACTGTTCTGGTACTCTCCGTAATACAATGTTTTGAGAAAGGCCTTACTCGCGTCATCCCATTCAGCCCATCCTGCTGGGTCAATGTGGTTGCCTATCGGGGACTGCAGCACAACTGTCCTGGAGTAGGCTTTCCATGGTCGGCCTAGGTATGTTTTGATGGAGGCTAGGACAGGTTTGAGATCCGTGCTTGGTATTATGTCACACTGCTGAATTGAAGTTGCAGTGTTCTGGTTTGGGTCTGTTCGACCTTGGGCTGTGACCATGTTTTTTTGGTTACTCATGGGCCTCCGGGCCACGAGTTTGCTCTTTTGGAACACAGCAGCTGCATTTCCGAAGATAAAATCAATAGTACCCGTAATGAAACAATCGCGGTAAAACTGTCGGTTGGAGTGTGCGTAGAGAGTGTCTTGAAATGCGTCAATGCGACAGCGGTTGATGACGGATTGATCAGAACCGACGCGGAGAGCAACCGCCTGGTGCTTCTCTGGGCCTGCCGTGTTATAGAATCCAATGTCCTGAGCTATAAACCCATCCCCAACAGCAGCTACAAAACCAAATTATACACGAATAAAAATCCATGTCACACAAATGGAAATCGTAAATGAATACAGACAAAGGGAAAATGAAAATCCATACCGACAGTTGCAGTTTGGAAGGTGCCTGTTCCGTCAACAAAATTCAAGCTGCCTGTGATAATTGTTGCATCCATACCGTCACCGAGGAGCATCACATTCGTCTTCTGACTACTGATTTCAACATTCTCTTTGTAGGTTCCCTTTTTCACATAGATAACATACCTCGTCTTACCTTTGTTAGGTGCCGATGCCACGGCCTCAGCCACAGTTTTGAACTTACCGCTACCATCTTTAGCCACCACAACATTGGCATTTATGTCCCCAACCGAAGACTCCAAAAGCCTTCGATCGTTACTTGTTACCCATGAGGGAAACTCACCGTTCAATGATTCATCAATGAATGCGTCGTTATTCTTTTCGGGTAAAACGGAAACAAGCACGGCCAGAGAAGATCTAGCTCTTGATATTAAGTCCTCAAGTTCACTTTCCATCACGACCCGAGATGTACCCTCTAAACCATCCAAGCAAGTTGCATGGTTTGTGAGCACACTACTCAGCCATGTGTGTGCATCTTGTTGCGAGTCCGTGTTATCTTTTGTTAGAGTCAACACTGAGTCCCAAACTCTTTCCATGGACAAGTTCATAAGTTCTTCACAGTCATTCAAGGCTGCCTCCTCTCTAGGACCGTTAACTCGGCGTTTTATAGCATTGGCTCTGTTCATGGCTTCTTGAATGTGTGTGGTGGACTTGGTTAATAAGGATATGAGTGTGCTCAATTTGTGGTGTTTTGTGCTAGCCAAGGTTGGGCCTTGAACAACTTCAGATACATGAGTTAAGCATGCTTCTATATCAAGAGCATGCTCACACAGATTGGGAGCAGATGAGAGGTGGAAGAAGGAAGTTGGTTTGTTGAGATGAGAAACAATAAGGGCTGATGAGCTTATGATAGCAGCTAAAGAGAGGATTAACCAAAATGTTTTTGGAATCGATTTTCTTGGCTTGTCTAACAAAGCTTCTTGGGTAGCCATACTGATAAGCTAGCTAGTACTTGTTGCTCACTATGATCTTTGTTTATTTCATCGAACTGATTTATAGGCAAAAAAATATTCAATATAGAAGAAAGAGATTACAAATCGGACTGTGCTAGAGGTGTGCAAAAAAACGTGGTTCATCTCTCGTCAAAATGGTAAACCGGTACCCATAAAATAGTTATTGGGTATACAAATTTCTTTCTCATCAAATTTTTCTCCTTTCTAATTTTCACACTTTCTCAAGAAAATAAGCTCTACACATTTTCATAAAAATTGAATGATGTTTAACACTTTATTTCAAATGATTAATTATTAAATAAATATAAAAATGTTTAATTATAGTTAAAAAATATGCAAACACTCTCAAATAAATTGAAAAATATGGTATACTAAATATTTAAAAAGCAAGATATATTATTACCACCGTAGAAAACAAATTTAAATTTGAAAGAAATTTGTTTGAACTTGATCTCTTTTCATTCAATATACATATATTTTATATAAGAAAACGAATGTGCACAGTGAATTAATTAATACTATCTCAGTATTAATTGATTTTTCTTTTAAGATTGATAAAACAAAAAAAATCATTTAAACATAAAAAGGTTTTAAAAAATGTTTTTTGACCGTGAGAACGACTGCGACAAAATGTTTTGGACATATGTCGATATCGATACTGTTATATCAGTTTTATATTAAAAAACAAATTATAATTAATAATTTACACTGCGACGAACACAATCAATGTCGTAACACCTCTATCGACCGAAATTGCAAAAATTGTAATACGACCGCGACAATTTTTTAAAATCTGCTTAAAATTAAATTAAGGATGTGCTTTATTAATGTTTAAAAAAATTAGTACTGAATTAATTTTAAAATTTTATTAATTAAAATGAATTGAATATAGATTAAATTATATTTAAATAATTTGGATTAAAATTAAAACTGGTTTCAAACCGGTTTTAATCCGGTTTGAAACCAATTATGTTTTTTAAATCAGTTTTTGTGATTAATGCTTTGATTTGTAAACCATAATCATAAAAGTGGATTGAATTACAATATATAGTAACCATGCACACCTCTAGACGGTGCTAGTGTTTTGCATGTGATTCTCAATTATTTTTACAAGGGAAATTTTTATCTTTTCATCCAAAAAAATTGAGTAGAGTTCTCCATAGAGTAAATTGCAATGTTTTAAAAATTGAATGGATAATAAACTTATAAAATGTATGGGTATGGTTCAATTGGTTTTATTGGATAAAAGGTGGTTGAACTGTATTTTAAATTTAAATTAAAAATTAAATAAACATATTATTAAATATCTTAATAAACTATTTTATATCATAATTATAAATTAAATAAAAATTTTAAACAAAATATAATAAATCATCTTACAAAAGAAGAAGAATGTAATGTAAGACCTAATAAAAAATTAAAAAATTAATTAAGGACTAATAATTATATATCTGTCTTGATTTTTTAACTCACACAAAGTGATTCAACACTAGTATAGAAGCGTCATTTCTTCTATTTGATTTCTTCACGGGCATAATTTTTCTCTCTTTTAATATCAACATCACTTACCTCATATCCACAAATACTAGATTATTTCTTCTCCATATATTTGTATTTACATTATCTCATATCTTTCAATTTTATTTTTTATCTTCTATCTATATAATTTTAATAATTTGTTATAATCAAATTTTTAGATCTAAACAAAGAAAACAAGAGAAGTAAAATATAAAAATTACCTTTAATTTTCTAAATCAACTGGTTAGCAAAACCGGTCCCAATTCTCTAGTTATTTTGGTTTTTTTGCAGTTGAAATGGTTTTGTGGTTATTTTGGTCCAAACTAGACCCAATTAGACAACAGTTCAAAGTTGAACCGATTCAACTAGACGATTCAATTTGATTTTTAAAACATTAATAAATTGTCTCGAAATAAAATAATACTATTTTACTTTTTATTATATTTCATCATAAAATATCTAAACAATATAATGAAAATTTATTCAACTTTATTTCATTTTGCTCTACTTCCACTCTGTTTCATTCTTTTTTGTAGGGGTGTGAAAAAAAACTGGATTACACGAATCGATTTTAAAAATTCAGTGCACTAATTTTTATAATCCAATTTGTGTTGGATGTGAACCGCTCCAGATCCATTTTGATATCAAAACAAAAATCTGGTTTCCATTTTTGATAATCAGTTGTCATACATAAAACTAAATGTATATGATATTATTATTAATGAATAAGATATTATTAAGACACAGAAAATTCAAATTCGTGTAAACCAATTTATATAATATTCAAATTGAAAATGGAAAACTAGTTTATATATTTTATTTTATTTATTATTAATTAGTTAATTAGAGTGGTGATTAGTTAAGGGAAGAAGAACTTATTAAGTTAATTGTGATGAACGATTGTTAATCTATATTTTTTTGTTTAACTGTTATAGTGTAGCAATTGTTTTGAAGCAGATTTTGTCTTGGTTTTAGGATGTTTTGTTTTAGTTTTTTTAGGTTCTAGTTTTAGTATTCTGGCGCAACTTTATCATAGATTAAAGTGTAATGTTTTTACTCTTAAATTAAATTTTATTTTTTTGCTTTTCAAAAAAATTGTGAAAAACGATTTGTGCTAGTGTTTGAATATAATAGTATAAAAATGACACATGCATTTGCATCTTGTTCCCTTCATTAACCTGAATTTTTTTCGTCTCTTCAAATTAAAAAAGATACAATTTCCTTATAAATCAATTTTGATTGAAAACCGATTTAAACCGGTTTAGAACCGAATTGAAACTATTTTGCAATTTTAAATTGATTATTATAAAAACTAATTTAATTTTAAAATTAGAACCATTAAAATGGATTAGTTCTTAAAATTTGATAACCATGCACACTCCTATTTTTTTTTTATTTTTTATTTTGAAATATCCAAACATACATATGGATAGATAAGTTGTTACCGTTTTACAATTGTTTTGTTCCTTAAAACTGAATAATATCTGACATGATATAATTTTGAAAAAAATTTAAATCTCACGTTAGTTACTAATAGAGTCTTGAAATATTTTATATAGTGATTTCTCTCACCTTGTAAATTTGTGTTGTTGAGATGAGTTAATCCAAACTTTATATTTATTATGATTATATAAATAAATGTTGGTTTTTGACTAAGGTGGAAAGGTAGTATGAGAAACAGCTCAACATATTTTTAACACTCACTCTCTCTTATTGATTGAGTGACACTATTTTTGGAATAAGACTCATATGATTTCACCATTTCACCTAAATGATTTTAGGACTTCTCGTAAGTTCCATAATAAGCTTTAAAGTATGTACCTTGGTGGAGTGGTACTATTAGTCACATGTTTTTGATTTTTTTTAGTAAAAGTTTACCAAGTGGGGGGTTGTGGAGTCATATCCATACCTTTTGTTATTTCTTGTATGATTAAAGTGGAAGACATTATTGCAGACTAGGCGTGCATACATTTTATTCTTTCGTATGTACGAAGAAATAGGAACACACGTTTTTAATTTACACTATTTGGAATAGCTAAAGTGTTTGCTTTTGTGCTAAAAAATATGGAGTAATTTGTTTGTTCAGGTCAAAATAATCTCATTTTATTTAAAAATTGAGATTAAGAAGTTTTTAAACACTCTCGGACATTTCCAGTGAGACATCTTTTCTAAAGTAGAAAGCTGTGAGCGGTGTTTTTAAAATTAAATTGAATCGATAAGTTAAATCAGTTGCATTAAGAATTGGACGAGTCAACAGTATGATCTAATTATTAGATTAAATAAATTATTGATTTAGTGAGAATCAATCAAAATCGATCAAAATCACTTAAAATCGATGAGTCGGTAGTTTTTAAAAATCAATGGGTTAAATGTTTTTTCCTCGGACAGAACAACGTTTTTTAATAATTTTTAAAAAATAAAATTAAAACAAATATAAACTTTATTTATAATTTATTTTGAACAACTTTCCTTCATTAGAATTAAATTTATTAGGTACTATAATTATTTTGCTATTCAATTTTATGTTGTAATTAAGCATTGTTTAAAATTTGAATTTAAATAATCAATTTATGAAATTATGAAAATTTTATAAGAATCATTATTTATTTTTAAAAATCAAATCATTCGGTTCAATTTGTTTAATAACTATATAATTTTATTAAAGGAATCTGTTTATTTTACCGAATTATATGGTTTAATCTGATTTAGTGATTCGATTCGAATAATGACTCAATTGGTTGACCAATAAATTAGTGATCCACTATCCTCAACAATTTGATGATAGACCCAATTTTTAAAATATTACACCGAATTCTCATGCTTAAAGCGAACAAAACTTTATAATTTACTTTAAATGGACTTTAGATCATGGAAACATAATTGTAATGAATAAATTAATAAGGTAATTATTTGATAGCGAAATTTTTTTAGCAATAATCAATTTTTGAAAAAAAATACATAATTAACCATGTTTTGAAGAAAATTACGCAAATGGTCATGTTTCAGAATACACTTAAACGAAGGAGCCAACTTAGATGGCGCATGCTCTTGCTTTTTATATGGAGGCGCCAAATGAGATGGTGCATAGGTGCCATGTGTTTTCCCTAAGTCATCTCAGATGGTGTCTAAGTGCTTTTGTGGAGCAAATTTATTTTCTTTCTATTTTAAATAAAAAATAATAATTAAACGATTTTTCTTAATGAAAGTTTGATTTTCAATAACAATTGAACGATTACATAATGAGAATAATTGTTACATATGATTTAGCTCCCCTGAAACTCGGTAACGACTCGTAGTTCTGCATCCGCGTCCCCGCCTAACTCGTGGTGCGTTTCGACGAATTTCCTACTAATGTTGGGTCGAGGGCTCAGTGAAGTCAATGCGTTCAGGATCCATGAAATCTGTCAGATCAGCATATCCGAAACATCCGCTTTGAAAGAGTCGGTTACCCATGCCCTCAA